GGCGGTGCGTGGGCAGAGGCGCCGCTCTCGTGCGACGCGCGGCTCCGCCCCACCCCGACTTCGTCGCCGCTGCCTCCGTCGGCTTCGTCGCCGCTGCCGCCCCCCTCCCCTAGCAGCCCTCAGGCGCCAGCCGTGCCGGCGTCGACGCAGGACGCGTCCGCAGCGCGCCCGCGCCTGCCCGCAGCCGCCGCAGCCGAGGAGCGGCGTCCGAGGGGGGCGGCGTGCACCTCGCACGCCAGCGCTGCGAGGAGAGAGGCGAGGGAGAGTGGCAGCGGCAGCGGCGCGGATGACGAGGCGGGGAGCGAGGACGACACCGCGTCAGAGGCGAGCAGCCTCGCGGCCGTGCGCGAGCTCGGCCTCCTCTCGCGCCGCGGCGGCGAGGGGAGCGACGGCAGCAGCGCGTCGGAGCCCGAGAGCGCGATCTCCGAGGAGGAGATTGCGACCTCCGAGGAGGAGACTGCGACCTCCGAGGGGGGGGCGCTCCAGGGCGAGGGCGGTGGTGGTCGGCCCGCCCGGCGGCAGGCCGCTCGCCGCGTGGACGGGGGGGCGTCTGGCTTCGTGCGCGAGTGCGCGAGCGGAGGCGGTGTGTACGACCCGTCCGAGTACGAGGCAGAGCGAGGGGGCGGCGGGCGGGCAGGCGGATCTCCGCCCGGCGGCCGAGCAGGGCGAGGGGGGTGCGGGGAGGGGCCTCTGAGCGGCCTCCTCCTCGCGCCGTCGAGCTGCGGCCCTCGCTTCGCGTGTGGCGACGGAGGGGTGGGACGGGCAAGAGAGGACGACTCCCTCCTCCGCGAGATTGCCCGAGCCGACTCGAGATGGCCCGGGAGTAGGCGCGGCGGGCAGAGAGGCTCTCTTCTTCGGTGGGGTTCCGCAGCCCAAGCCTCAGCCCTCTCTGCGCCCGACCGCTCGGCGCCCACAGCAGCGGGAGCTCGCCTGACCAGCCCGAGACCGCCGCCGACACCGCCGACGCCGCCGCCGCCGAGGAGGCCTTCCCTTGCAGCTCCGCGACGGCCGAGGCTGCGTGCTCATCGTTCATAATCCGGTCGCCGGGTCTCGTAGGAGTCGTCGCTCGCAGCTAGCCTGCCGCCCGCGCCGCCCCTCGAGGCGGACGACGATGGGCGCAGCCGCGGCCTCTTCTCGCAGTCGCTCAGCGGCGTGTCTGCCGAGGGGCGGCTCTTCACCCCGCCGGTGACAATTCCGAGACATTTCCGAGACACGTCCGAGACATTTCCGAGACACGTCCGAGACACGTCCGAGATGCGCCTGGGGGTTGGCTCGCCCCCAGACTCGCTGCTTCGCGTCTCTCGCCCAGCAGCCCCTCCTCCCACACCCCGCCTTCCGTTGCCCCCCCCCCCCCCCCCATAA